CCTGTGTGACCTTGCAGTTTCATTCCTGTCTGTATACCCAGAAGAATGGAAAACAGATGCAGCTATGTATATGTTCATAGCAGCATTATTTCCAGTAGCCAAAATGTGAAAATAAGCCAAATATTCATCAAGAGATTGGATAAACAAAAATGTGGTATGTACAATACTACATACACAGTTACAAAAGGTTACATATTGTATGATTCCATTTATACGACGTATCAGAACAGATAAATCTGTAGAGACAGAATGCGGAGTTGAGGTTGTCAGGGTCTGTGGGGCTGCAGGGAATGGGAGAACCTGATTGTGGGTATAGGACTTTGAAGTGATCGAAATGTCTGGGAGCTACGTAGAAGGGGTGCTTGCAGAGCATCATGAGTTTGCTAAATGCCACTGAATCATTCACTTTAAAATGCTTAATTTTGTGTTACTGTGAATTCTTATTCAATAAGTTAGTTTTTTTAAAAAGCAACTCTATAGGTATGATTCAGTCAGGATAGCTAAGTTTTGGGTGTAATCCAGGGTTATTTACCCCTTTTAACATCAATACCCTTTATTATAGAAAGCACATACTAAAATATGGTGGTTTTTTGTGAACATTTGTGTGAACACCAACTACAATGAGATATTTGACATAAGTAGAAAATTAATATATTTTATTAATTATAAGCACTTAATGTAGCACTCACTATGTACCAGGCACTATTTTTAGCCCCTTATATGCATTTAGTCATCACAATAGGCCTACAGGTTAAGTATTTTTATATCCATGTTTTACAGATAAGGAGAGTAGGACACACAAGGTAAACTACTATGCCAAAGTCAGACAGCTAATAAGTGGTGGAGCCTGAATGTGAACCTAGACACTTGCTCTAGAGACTGTACTTTTAACCTCTATAGTACACTGAGTAATAATGTCTTTGTTCATTATACAGTAAACTTCCTAGAGGTTGGGATTTGAATCCATGTCAGGCCCAGAGAAAATCTGATAGTTATAGAGCAAATGAATGAATTAAAAGCAAACAAACAAACAAAAAAAAAACCCCTAGACTTTGTATCAGTATTTTTATAGACTAAATATTTGTATCCCCCTAAAATCCATATGTTGACACCTAATGCCCAAAGTGATGGTATTTGGAGGTGGGGCCTTTGGTTGGTGATTAGGTCATGAGGGTGGAGCCCTCATGGATAGGATTAGTGCCTTTATAAAAGAGTCCCCAGATACCCTGGTGGGGCGACTGGGTTGGAGCATTGTCCTGTGCACCAGAGGGTTATAGATTCAGTTCCAGGTCAAGACACATACAGGAGGCAACCAATCCGTGTTTCTCTCTGACATCAGTGTCTCTTCCTCTGCCACCTACTTTTCTCTCTAAAATCAACAAACATATCCTTGGGTGAGGATCTATTTTTAATTTTTTTAAAAAGAAGCCTAAAGAGCTCCCTCACTCCTTCTGCCATGTGAGGGTATAGCAAGAAGATGGCCATCTCTGACCCAGGAACAGGGCCCTCACTGGACACCAATCTGCTGGTGCCTTCATCTTGGACTTCTCAGCCTCCGGAACTGTGAGAATAAATTTCTGTTATTTATAAGCCACTCAGTGCACAATATTCCTTTATAACAGGCCAAACAAAGACAAATGTTTTGGCAGTTAGAGAATTTTGTGTTTTCTGCTTATCTCTCACTGGTGTTTTAGAGAGGTGAGATTTTATGTAAATAAGGAACTGTGCTGGGGACTGCAGGCTATTCCCATATAAGTAAGATGAATATAATTGGGTCTGGGACCAGTGAACTATTATAAAATTAGTCCTTATTTAAACTATATGAACTAGGAGAAACCATGAGCAAAACAATTTATAAATATCCTTATTTTACAAGGCAACCATCCTTCCCCCCAAAATGGGAGTGATGACTTTTATTGGATAAAGTGCTTTATATATATATATATGTGTGTGTGTGTGTGTGTGTGTGTGTGTGTGTGTGTGTATAAAACATGTCTTTGATTTTAAAGCTAGTTAAGATCCTCATCAGAGTTATTAAACACCTACAGAATGGTTCATTTTATGGTGACTTTATGGTGAACAGAGTTACAATGTCATTCAAACATTCTAATAATAGTAATACACTAACTCATACTGGGAGCAAAGACGTCAGAAAACCCCGCCGCCTTGTTGTGTTTGGATACTGCATGAGCGAATCTGTCAGCTTTTCCCTTCGTGTACCATTTTGCCATTCTGAGCTGACCATTACAACCAACATTATGTCCTTTCAAATTTGTTAACAAAATAAGTTTAAATTCAACTATGTCATTTTCAGATGTTAATCAAGCAGTCTGCATGTTTCCATACACAATCTATTCCAGAAGACAGAACTTGTCTGACAGAACAATGCAGACAGGCCCTGGTCCCTTAATATCTGATTGCCAGCTTGATTTGTTATTTGCCATCTGGGGAGAAAGATGTGCTATCCTAATAAAATGTGCATGGAATGCTACTTCTCAGGATGTAGCCATACAAAGAACAACCAAAGAAAAGTGGAAGATTTGGCAGCTATGTTTAATCTAGGTCAGCTGTTATTAAGGGGCTTTTGTCCATGACCATTTATTGAGCCTGCACTTTGACTAAATATACCACTGGGATTAACCCACCATTCTCTTCCAAGCTAGCAGTGCTTTGGCAAAACAGACTTTCTTTCAGTGCCTAGGATGCACTGGAGTCCTTTTTGCCTTCAGAGACTTCAAATACTCTGCTCTCTTCATCTGAGTGATCACTCCTTCCCCATTTCACCAGGCCACTTTCTGCTCCTCTTCTATGACTCGGGTTCATTGTGTCTTTATCAGAGACTTTCAGTGATACTCTGTGCTGGTAAACTTCATAACACCTTGAACTTTCCTTCAGAGCACTTAACAGAATTATAATTAAATAGTTATAGATGTATATTTTGTTTCATATTCTCTACTAGATGTAAGCTTCAAGAAGGCTAGGACAGAGTCACTCTAAATCACCACTAGATTCCCACCAACTAGATAAGTGCTTGACACATAATAGATGCTTAATAATTATTTGCTGAATGATAAAAATGAGTAAATGAATGAATGAAGAGAGACCATGCCCTCTATTTATTCACAGTATAGCACTGATTATTTTTATTGTCAGATCTATGTTGTTTTCATAATTCTTATTCTTAAACTGTAAGTGCTAAAAAACCAACAAAATAAAATGACTTACTACTTGTATGTGGTGGGGGTGGTCAGTGGTGAGGGGGGTGGTAGGGAGATGAGTTAACATCCATTTAGGTGTATCAGAACATCAAACTACCAGATCATAAAGTTCCTTCATAGTTTGGTCTCACAAAAATTAGACTAATGTTTCAGGTATTCCTCCACAGAATCTCCGAGAAAGTTTGAGAATCAATAGTTGCTAAATTAAGTGGCCTTAATGATTACTGTTTATTTTTAAATAGTAAACTAATAGTTTTTTAAATTTCTCCTTTTATTGAAGATTTTATAATTCCCAGAGTTTTCCTCAAATAATAATCCAATAAGTAGTGAAATAGTTCCAGGTACAAAGGGAGAGTAGATGTACAGAAAGGGCAGGTGACACAGGGAATCTGGGCTTTTTCATGTGAAATCCGATTTGGATGTCAGTCACCTTCCTGTAAGTTTCAGATTGCCTGTGCAAACGTGCTTACAGTTTACACTTACATAGCGTGTGTTCTCAGGGATGATTGGCTAAATTTTTCTTACTGCTCATATTCACATTTACACAAAAAAAGTCCATTGTATTTTTAATTTTTTATAAAGAAGAAAATAAAGCCTATGCTTAAGCTAACCATCAAAAGTTATTTTACATTTTGGTATATTTCTTTGTCTTTTTGCCATTCAAACACTTTATATATTAATTTCCTACAGTGAGATGAAAGTATATATATATATATATATATATAACTTTTCTTCAACTTTTTATCTTGAGTCTTTTCCATATCATTCAGCCATATTCATAAATATAATTTCTTGTGACTGTTTACTGGAAATTCAAGTTATTTTTCAGAAATTTTAAACACCTATTTTCATAGAGCTTTGAGGGGGTTTATTTTTTGTTTTTTACTTAGGATAGAATTATAAACAACTTACTGAGTAAAATGGTGTGGACCTTTTTAAGGCTCTTGATACATGTAGTAAAATTGCCTTTGGAATGCTAATACTGATTTAATTCCTACTTGCTACATATGACAAGGCTTAATATATTTGCCATAAAAGAGGTTGTACAAATAAATGAGAAAAAAATGTTCTAATAGTTAAGTGGATTAAGAACATGAGCAGAAAATTTGCTAAAATTGACATTTAAATAGCCATATAAGTATATATGAATATTACCAAATCTCATTAGAAATACAAATTATAATAATAAATATACTATTTTAATTATAGTAACAGTTTTCCTTTGAAAGTGTTCAAAGATAAGATATTAACATTAGGGGAATCTGGGTAAAGGGCATATAGGAACTCTATACTATTTTTATAACTTTTCTATAGATTTAAATTTCTTTCAAAATAAAAAGTGAAAACTTTAATCTACTCATAATATGACTACAGTGCTTATTTAATAATGTCATTGTACTTGTTGATCTTGTATAAATGAGTCAATAAACTCCCAGAAATCTTCATTGGTACATACCTAACTAGTTCTTCTCTCAAGGTACAATCTAGTATTGAAAAACAAATATAAAATATTTCCAATGAATCTTCTTACTTATTGCACAAGTCTCTGAACCTGCTCTGTATGTTATATACTCTATTTCATTCAATCCTTTCTATAGTCCTAAAAAATAAGCAGTAAAATTATCAGACTCATTTTACATATGAGTAAACCAAGGATATAAAGTTGAGTAACTCATCCAAACTCGTATTCTAAAATGATTTACTTTAATTGGTTTCATTTATAAGATGTGTCTATTTGGCAGAAATGGCTTACATTTTGGGACTGAATGTCTTTATTTCCAGCTGGATATGGTGTTTCCTTTCCAACAGTTGAACCTACGGACATTATTCCACGAAGCTGCCAACTAACAACAGATGTTCCCCAAGTTACACAGCTGCTAAACATGACCAAACTACGCCAAACTATAATAAAATTTGGAGGTCATCCTCTAAGTTCAGCAGAATCAGGTATGCACTTAAACACCTAAATTATAAGCATGTTTATTTGTAAGAGCCAAATAAAGGGGAAAAACAGCATGCAATTAATCTTTATAACTTGAAGTTAAATATTATGACTCATGTCAGTGATAAATCATTATTTTGAATCTCTTTAGCAACTAAAATATTTTCTGGATTTGTTTACATGACAAATCAAAACATCCTCAATTATTCTTCTTCTTTCTTATATTCATCCAAGCCTTGCCAATTTTACCTCTCAAACAGCACTCAAATCTGTCTGCTCTATTTGTTACATCCATTGTACTGATCCCCACTGTCACTCACCTTAGCCTGTCAGCTAATCTGCACATTGCTATCAGAATTATCCTTCTGATAATAGAAATAGAAATGTGGCCCTGGCTGATGTGGCTCAGTGGGTTGAGTGCTGACCTGAGAACCAAAAGACTGTTGATTCCATTCCCAGTGAGGGCACATGCCTGGGTTGCAGGCCAGGTCCCCAGTAGGGGGTGCTCAAGAGGCAACCACACACTGATGTTTCTCTCCTTCTCTTTCTCCCTCTCTTCCTCTCTCTAACAATAAATAAATAAAATCTTTTTTAAAAGATAGAAATATGATTCTGTCAGTCTTTAATTAAAGACTTCTAATGTGTTTCCCACTATCTTAGAAGACAACATGAAAAAACCCTTGAGAATGCACACAAAGCCAACTTCCCCTATCCCAAACCTGCTCCACAGTTTTATCTCCAACACCTTTCTCTCATTCCCCACATGTCCTTTACTCTCTGGGCTTTCACATGTTCATATTTTGGAATTGCTGTATTGTTGGCCTAAAATGGCTTCCTTGCCTTTCTGCTTGGAAAAGCTCCCATTTATCTTTCTAGACCCAACTCAAATGCCACCTCGTCTATGCAGCCTTTCCTAATTCTAACAAGTGTTGTTCTTTTTCTATGACTTTTCCTTTTTTTGCTACACTTTTTAATATGTCTGCATTCCCCAATAAAGTATGACTTCCTCATTCTTCTATTTCCCTAGCTTCTATCATAGTGCTTGTCATATATTGAGCCAGGGACGGGAGACTCAGTTACTACAGAGAACAGTCTGACAACATAAATAATATGGCCCGGATACCCGAATTTTGACACAGAGAACCATTCGCTACTTCACAGTGAGCCTTATTGAGAGTAGAGGAGGTATTAGGGAAGAAGATTGGGATAGTGCATGAAAGACCTCATTCTCTACTATTAATACAGTAACATTAACTACTATGCAAATGATACAATAGATGGCAATTAACACTCCCTAGAGTTCCCTGTGAAGGAACTCTAGGGAGTGGTGAGAACTGTGGCAAACTAGAAGTTCATTCTCAGTCTAGAAGGGGTCATTGCAGTTCAGTTCTAGCCAAGTTGCCTTGCAGAAATGCAGGCCCAGTCTCATCAGATCTTTCTTTTTCTTATTTGAGGCTGGGCATCCCAAGGTTTATGATAAATCTCCCAATTTTAATATATTATCTAAAATCTAAAATGTTTTTAAAATACTCTGCAAGCCCAACAAAACCTGACAGTGCATGCCAGTTCTCTGCCACTGGAGTAGTCACCCATCACTACTGACCAAATGAATGGGTAGTGCTTTACAAACCAAGAGCCTAATATTATTTAGATGAGTTATTCTCAACCTCCTATATTTGAGAATCACCAGGGACACTTTAAAAATAACTGATTTTTTAAAAATTTTCCTAATGTCTATGCTTCATTCCCAGAGATTCTGATTTAATTGGCCTGGGATGGATTTTAAAAAAAAAACAAAAAACTCCCCCAGCAATTCTAATGTGCAGCCAGGGTTGAGGACCACCGGATCACTTCTCCCGACAAAGCTCATGTGATTCAGATGACCCTTATAAACACTGAAGTGATTCAGAGGAAGGTGAAATGGCCATAATAGGGCACTTACAGAAGTAGATCTTGAAAGTATTCAAAAAATTATTGTATATATGTTTATAATAAGTAAATATAAGATGTATGGATGTGTAAGATGGTACAGAAAACTGAGCAAAGATAAAGAGACAGCAAACTGCCTGGATGAGTTGGTTGAGGGGTTGCTAAGAGGAACAGTCTGATGAGGCAGAATGGCTATGTTGGAACTACAAGAAGAGCGTACTTCGTGTTTCTGAAGTAGAGGAATGATAATTTCCTTTTCAGGAAGTTGAAATTGACGTCAGGATTCAGTATGAACTTGTAAATCAAATGAGAGCAGAGATTAAAGATTACAACTAATTTGTCTTTGCATCAAGCTAAGCATTAAATGACAAGTGGCTGTGAAAACCGAATGTGAAGACCCTGAAAGGAACTGCAGAGAAACACTGGTGATTCTCAGACAACAGATGGGGAGGGGAGAGTGGTTAGAGTTTGAGAGAGGCCAGAGTAGAAACAGGAAAAAGATAATTAGGATGAAATGAATGACTTGCAAAAATCGCCTGTTTTACTCTCTCTGTGTATCCTATGTTCATTTAGTCAGTGAATTTCGTATATATCAATCTTCGCCAGCATTACATGCCCTAAGTCATATATTCATAAAGAATTGGGATTGGTTTTACAACTTCTTCAGTATAAACCCTGGCAGAGGATTATATGTAAATAGGTACTATGTTTTTAAACCTTTTGTTGTGAAATTTCTAAAATTACACAACAGTAAAGAGAATATATAATGAACTCCCATGTTTCCATCGCCTGCTTCCACAATTACCAACTTTGGGCAGGACTTTTTGACAACAATGAGGGCATAATTAGTCAGAATTTGTATATTTATTATATATACTATCTCTAGATGGGGGCTGGGGAGAGAGACATATACAATCCATTTTCATGAAAGGACATTTAGAAAACATATAAAAGGATGAAAAAGATCCTTTGACCCAGACAGCCACTATAAACACATTGGGTCATGATTCAGTCTTAATGGAAGATTATCCACAGAATGAAATGAGTAAGGGTGGTTTTGGTAACCAATTGGTCTAGCTGTAACTAATAGGCTGAGATAGTTTTCAGTAATAGTTTTTGGTGACAGAAAGGCTTAAACTGTAAAGCCTATCAGATAATCTTCAGCAATCATAAATGTTATTTGTCTTCTCTGTATCTTAATATTTTTTAATCCTCACCCAAGGGAATTGTTTTCATTGCTTTTAGTGAGAGAGGAAGGGAGAGAGAAAGAGGGAGAAAAACATTGATTGGTTGCCTCCATAAGTGCCCCTACCAGGGACTGGGAGGTGAATCTGCAACCTAGATTTGTGCCCCGACTGGGGATAGATCCCGCAGGCATCTTTCAGTCCATGGGATGATGCTCCAACCAGCTGAGCCATGCCAGCCAGGGCTGTATCTCAAAGTTTTAAGAATTAATTATGTCTTTCAAAGAAAATGTAAGTCTATAATCAGATATTTTAAATGTCTTCTTTTATTTAAAGTTCAAGGACCCATGATACCTGAGTTTAAAGAGGAATTCGAATAAATATTAATTACAACATTAATCCAATATTATAATTAAACAAACTTTTTCATAAGCCATATTTGATACCAACTTTTAGAAGAGGACACTAGTTCATATTTTACAAATTTTATAAATGGGCTCTCAATACATAATAATATTTAACTTGAGTTATATATACAGAACATTAATAATCATCTAATAGCATATTTCTTCTGCCCTGTGAATCCCAATTATATTTATATTCATTTATAACCATAGAGTTATGATTGTCTCTCTTAAGTAAATCTCATTGCACATGTGTGACAGCTAAGATTATGTGAACATATATTGAACCTTTGTGGTTCGCTTCCTATAAATAATTTTCAATTGCTAATTTTGACATATGCAGGCTTTGAAATTTACTATCAGTAAATTATTTTATTATATATCAGTGAATATAATAATAATTATAATTTTTGTGTAGGATATTTTATCTGAAAGGAGTAGCTAATGAATAGAGTTCAAGGACAGACTTTTATAATCATAGAAATCCAGGTCTTTCTTAATTTAAACTATGTGTTTTGTGTCTTTTTAAAAAAAAAAAGGATTCCCCATGGTGAGATTTGAATTGCATGAGAAATGACTGTGTGTTTTTGTAGTTGACTGTACAGTACTCGTGTAAATTGTATTTTGTTATAAATGCTCATATTGAGAGATCCCAATGAAGCTGCGACAGGAAGAAGTAGGTATTTCCTATAGATGCTTTCTAGCATTTTTACCCAAACAAAAAGGGAAACATTGAAACTTCTGTGTTAGGGTGCATTTTGTTGAAGATCATAGAACTTGTTCAAGAAGATTTGACAAAATCAATAAAATAATTGTGTTTCCATAAAGCCAAGGTTACCAAACATTGTACTGTTCCCTCGGTCAATTCCATTCCTGGTGCACATTAGCTAATGAATGTTAGTCTGCAGATGACTGTGAGATCTGATTATCTTATTTTCATTAATGGGACCCTAGTTTAATTAAACCAGAGAATCGGATCTGATTATTGAAGTTGATCATTCAGCTACTAATGACAAGATGTAATGGTCCACTAGGCGCAAATGAAAACCAGTAATTTACTTAAAAATTAGGAGGCAATTCTTTTAAGCATCCTTCTTTCCACAGCAGCAGTCTCATTGTATTATTACTCCTTTTAAATAAGAAGAAACTGACATCCCTGTCTCCTAGCACAATTGCAAATGGGTGAATTGATGCATCTAGCAAAACCATGCAATAATCATCTAAGTGTAGTTGGCATTGGTGAAATCCTTATTAAAATTTCTTCTTGGGTTCCACATTGTGAAAGAAAAGTTCAAGTCAGGCAACAAAATCTACTGTAAAGTAGAACCTAAAAGAAAAAGGAGTAAGATTCTGACTTCAGGAAAAAACAAGACAATCTTTTAATTCCTTCTTTTCTAAGATTGGACTTTGATAAACCTCGTCTTAGGATTGTTGGTTAAAGAGATGCCACAATTTCTAGTTGCAATGTCTGATAATAATTCAGAATAA